TATGTAAAATATAATTATTATGTATAGCAAATATATCGTATTATCCTCGCGAAGATTTGTACCCTTTATTTAAAATCCATAAATCATGTGAACAGGTTAAATAACGAGAAAATAATTAAGTTAATTTAGTTCTAAAGAAATGAAATGACACTCGCGCCCATCTCTAGTCCATCCGTCGACATCGGTTGCGTTTATCGAATTCCTATTGGTCAGAATTCAAACTGCAGCCCTGTTATGAATGGAGCGTGAGTTGGACTATTCTATCATGTGCGTCGCCTGAGGATATTCGTTACATTGACTCCTAATTTCCAATTAAAAGAACGACACTATTTTTAACCGAACTTTATTTAATAAATATGTAGTATACAATTTCTGATTTTCTAAATATTTTATAACGCCTAAAAATGTATGTACCGTGGAATTTTCGTGAATTATCACGTAAATTTCCGATGTATACCCGACACGCCACTGCGTCATGGGTAATGTATCTAGGTTTATGAATGACATATCTATGTCCAAGGTTAAAGTCACAAATTGTCCGCTCTCTGTTTATAACCTGAGTATCCAATCATGTTTTAACCTTAAACCCCTGTATACCAAATTTGGCGCGAATCCGTTATTTTTTGAAAATTTGGTCGGCCATCTTGGATCCGCGATCTTGAATTTTGCAAAATTGACGTCGGATCCGTGATCAGCGACCCCGTATACCAAATTTGGCGCGAATGTTATTTTTTGAAAATTCGTGATATCTGACCTTAATTGACCAGTTTTATAGGTTAGAAAAAGAACCATCAATTCTTACCGCGGATTCACGTTCGGCGGGGTCTTAACCATATAAATGAACATTTGAATACCTATAGAAAAAAAAAAATTTTTTGCACTTCCTAGCACTCGTGAATTTTTGCTATTTTTGCCCTGTTTTTTGAGGTTAGAAAATTCCTGTGATGTGATAGCTCAATTCTGACACCGGATTCGTAATCAGGAAGCAAAAATACTACGAATAACATATGTTGCATGAAAAGTACAGACAACTTTTCTTTTTTTGTGTGGCTGTGTTATTAATTAACAACCTCTAAGAGGTTTCAAGTATTTCCCCTACATGATTTTATAAGGATATAGAAATTTCAAGACATTTAAAAATATATATATATGTAAGTTGCTGGATTCGACATGTAACCTACAAATTGTTTCCCATAATATGATTAGTAAAAGATTTACTACAACTGGATACATTTCATTTGAATTCTGAATCTGAAATGCGCAAATAAAAAAAGGGCACGATGTAGAATGAGATAGAAATACAGGCAGCAGCAGTATACCTATAGTAAAGGTATACTCCCTGCTCCTTACCAAATGAATTTGGTTTACCTTGACATACTATAATGATCACCCTGTATACAAACATTCAAATACAATTTCATTAATTATCCAAAAAGTGAATAAAAAGTAACATAAATCTTGTATACATACCTCAACATTTGCAACATTATCATGATCATCATCAATACTAAAAACAGGTGCAACATCTCGATACCTTTTCCCAATCTTATCGCTACTGGAAACATGTCTTTCCTGTATGGGACTGCTGTTTGGATTCACAATATAATCGATTAGTTTTCCCTTAACTTCCGCGGACTTCGATTTCATCGCTGCAGATATCTTTCCAAACAAATCTGTGGACTGCCCAGATTTAACGCTGTTTTTCAACAGGTAATTAGGGGCACAGACAATACAATTCCTTGGATTATGATCCTGTAGGAATTCGTCAATATTGTCGGAGAAATAATTATGGATGGCTATGTACCCTCCAGTGAGTAGAGACACGTACTGAGTGTGCTTCTGCAGGAAAGATGCCACAACCATGTGGGTATATTGATCCTCTTCGTTACGACCTGAACCGAGGAAGCATAAGTGCTCCCCACCTTTAACAAATAGAGTTAAAACTGTTAAATACAGGGTGTCACGTAAGTATCTAAGAATATTTTAGGTGATTCAATGAAACATTTTAGGTTCCTATAAATCTATATCCTAAATTTATGAAATACAGGATTTTATTTTTTCAAAAAAATATAATATTTACATAAATATCTAAATACGTTTGATGCATACTGATGAAACTTGGGCTAGTGATTTAAATAAATGAAAAAATTCACTAAATTTGTAGACAGTGCAATATTTGAATAAAAAAAAATGTAATATTTTGTCATTGAATACTATTTTACAGTAAAACTTAAAGCGAACTATGCAAGAAATTTCACTAAATAATAATGCCCGAGTTCCATGTGACCAGATTGTTGCTCAGTAAATTTGATTTTCTCAAGTTGGTGTTTCAGATATTACCAAGGATAATTCACCAACTAGGATTAGATTAAATGTCAATCCAGAAGCGTTTGTAATTTTTCGTGTTTTTATTCCCATTGTTTGTACAATTTAACAGTGTTTACCAATAATTTTGGAGCTTTCCTACGAATTAATCTTTGTCTGCTAAATTGAAACAAAAAATTGTTCTTTTCAGAACAGCGAAAATTCAACGTTTTTACGCCAGAACAAGACGCATTTATTTTAATGGCACATTTTCGCAGTGGTACACAGAACGAAGGTGGAAGTTGGTTTTATTCTATGCAAACTGCATGGAACAATTTGTTGAAGCTTTTCCTGATGTTAATATTGTATATAGTGGGTTTAAAAACCACAAATTCCTCCTTATTAAAATCTATAAACAAAAACATTGCATCTGTAAGGGCAAGTCGACGGGCAGACCTACTGTTTTAACAGAAAATGTTGAAGATATTCGACAACGAATAGTGCGAAGTACTAAGAAACCTGTTTCGCAGTTATCTACTCAAATAAGCACTGCGATAAACTTGACATAACTTGAATTATGTACATTTTTTAATCTAAAGCTAAAATGAAAAAATTATAATTTCATAATTTTGAAAATTTTTTAATACCATTAGAATATATTTTTTTATCAACATAAAATTTTACAGCTTCGCAGTGATCAATTTGTGTATTTGCAAGAAATATACCTATTACACTGATATAATATCCATTGGTGGGATATTGGGACTTGTCACAACGCATAAAGAAGAAGCACTCCTATAAGGTTTATGTTGTGCAAGAGTTATGATCTCCTGATCACAACCAACAAGTACAATATTGTCGATGATTTAATGAACATTTAAATGACAATTTATTAGACCTGATGTTTTATTCCTAGAAGGCATGGGTACAGTCATCTGGTTATGTAAACAGTCAGAATTATAGAACTTGGGCTCCAGAAAATCCACATAATATTATTGAAACATTACATCCTCAGAAAATATGTAACTGGGTAGCCGTTTCAACAAGTTGGATAATACGCTCAATTTTTAATAATAAATAAATGAAGAAAGATACCATAACATTTTACAACAAGCCCTGGAACATGATGATGAACTGCAGCATGGGTATTTTCAACAAGATGGAGCTACAGCACATACTGCAGCAGAAACTATCTTCAAGAATTGTATGGTAATAGGCCGATTCCATTTCAAATCATGCAGAGCTCCATGTGGACCTGTCATCAAGCTACTCCAAAATATCTTTGCATTGTTTTAGGTCAAAAATAAGGGGACCCCTATTTTTTCTTTTTCCTCTCAGATCCATAGTTCCATCTATTATGTACTCGGAAAATGCATTGCTGAAAAGAAAAATTTAAAAAAATTTTCCAATTGCATTTTGATTGCTTATTTTTTTATTTTTTGACACGTTAAAATAATTCTTATTTCAACCTGATAGAGGGAATGTAGCCCTTCAAATCTACCTTTTCAAAAATGTGAATAAATGCATTGTTCAGAAGAAAATGCATTTTGCCGGGCCCCTCGACTCGTGCGAATTGTCACTTTTGTATCGCGACTTTTGCGATTTTTTTGCATTTTCGCGGCCTTTACGGCCACGACACTACCTTATCAGTAAGAAATTGTTTCATTCGGTCATCTGTGTTTATGTACGTAGTTACCGCGACATGTAAATATTAACCGCATTTTAGAATTTAGCGTCACTGTATGCCTGACTGTCTTGTTGTCAACATGTCGGCTATCAATATTTATTCAGCAAAGAGATTGAAGTGTCCAGATTATTCAAATGTTCAAAAAAAATGCGTATATCAGTGTAGGAATCTGAACTTTCAAAAAATTATGCTGACTATTTGCAAATAAAGTTCCAGAATGAAGACATTGCTGCAACTGATAGTATGTGTAGCAATTGCTATTAATTGAATGGAAACAAATGTTTTATTTTATTCACATGTTATTGTAGTTTTTTTATTTTTAAGTTTTATACGATAAAAAGCAAAAACCGCAAATTTCAGAAAGATAGATTTGAAGGTATTGGTACTATTAATCTCCAAAAAAATTTTGGGAGCTAAAAAATATGGCCTTTTTGATACAAATTTTTTTCAAAGATGTACTTTTTTGAACAAATGCATTTTCTGCCGAATAATGCATTTATTCACATTTTTGAAAAGGTAGATTTGAAGGGCTCCATTCCCTGTATCAGTTAAAATAAGAATTATTTTAATGCGTCAAAAAATAAAAAAATAACAGGCAATCAAAATGCAATCGGAATTTTTTTTTTTAATTTTTCTGTTCAGCGTTGCATTTTCCAAGTACATAATAGACGGAACTATGCGTCTGAGGAAAAATTAAAAATAGGGGTCCTCTTATTTTTGACCTAGACCTAGAATAAAAAAAATATTTTGGAGTAGCTTGGTGACAGGTCCACATAGAGCTCTGCATGATTTGCAAATGGAATCGGCTAATAGATTGATTACTAAGGATTTGTGGTAAGATAAGACAGCAAATGAACTTGAGCACAACGAAGGTGGTCGTTTTGATCATCTATTATAAATTTGATTACTATAATAAATTTCTGATAGCTTAATAAAAAACTTTGTGTTTATGTCAAATTAACGATTAGTAAATAGTAATCAGTTGATTCTTAATTTAATATTTAATACACAAATAGTTTATAGATGAAGTATGACGCCAAAATCAACAGTTTGGTTATATTTTTCTGAATTGAGTAAAAATCATTATAAATGTAACTTTTGCTCAAAAACAATTTTTAAGGATTCCAGTAGGATGAAAAAACATTTAAATAAGTGTGTTGGCTGTTCGGGTAAAATTAGAAACCAGTTTATAAAAAAGAAAAAAGTTTAAAGGTAGGTAATAAGTAAAATATATCGACACATTCATTAGAATAAAAGTAATATTTTGCTTTGTGAACCCTCAAGCAGTGACCTGTGAAAACATGACGTCACTCATAAGTGCCTTATTAGATTCGAGGTCAAAAGTACTTCACACTTTTCCGAAATGTGCCCATCTTTATTTTCAATTTAAAATCGGATAAAAATTCAAAATATCTTTGCGAAATATGATTAGTTTGTAAGTTTAAATATAAAAAATACTGTTTTTCTATCGAAGAAACACATTTTACAGATTAAAGTTCAAAATTTGTAAAGAAATGTAATATGTACTCCACTGGACTTAGGGAATTTTGTGTTAATCATTGCATTCAGTGTAAGTTTGGTTGCCTAATAGTGGTGGTTACGTAGGACACAGGCATTTATGAATTTTTATTTGATTTTAAAAATTTCTGTTCAAATTATAAGATTGTTCCTATTAACGGATACCACAAACCATAGTTTATCATGTTACGACTGTGCACCAAATTCATTATTTTGTATTTTTATAATAGCTAATGAACATGACATACATTTTTTCAACAATATGTTAAAGGTATTTGTAATGTTCACTTACCTGCACTAGAATTGTGTGCTAAAGCTTGTCTCTGTGCACTTAGAAGGCCCTGCACTGCAGTAGCAAATGCGCTAGGTTCTTGCAACATTAAGTTACAGTCTAAATGAAAAGCAGTTGGTAAATGTCCAGCATTATACTGTTCGATAGGTCTGCAATCCACCAAAAAGAATCTTACAGCATCAACATTCGCAGTGTCATGGGCCGAATTTTCAACCAACTCGTGCACGGATACTGGTAAACACAACGCCTGAGATACTAACAATGTATTGTCCCCTCTACCATTATACAAAGTTTGCATAAGATCGTTTCTAAAAGAAATTGGTGTTTTTAATGCGTAGTATTGTGCAAGCGTGCAAAAATCAGATACATCATCTGCTTCCAAACCACAAGGCATATTTGTAAGACAAGTTATTATCTTTTCTCTACTTTCCTCTTTCATGGAAATTATTTGGTCGCGAGCATTAACAACCATTATTAAAGATAAGAAGAATATGAAGAATGGGTCAGATTGCTGAAAGTAATAATCCCACATATTTATAACTACTTCTAAGTTGCATGTAGCTGCAAATAATGATTGAAACCAGGAGAGGCAATATTTTTCTGGGGTTATTCTCTTTGTGTCCAAAAATGAACACAATTCTGGATCATGGTAAAGTAACAGCAGCCGCAGAATGTGGAAGGCATTGCCCTCATTTTGACAGCTTTGAGGTATATAGGTATCTCTTATTGCTTCAAATAAATTATAAGTGGTCGATCGTGGTGCTTTAAGAGTAAGTATGGGTAGTAACAATTCTATCCATCCATTATTACGCACATAGGGCACATTTCTACTTTTACAATAAAATGTAAGAATGGATTCCAGGTCGGATATTACAGAGAGTTTGTCTTCTTCTTCATTGCCTAATTTTGACACAAAATTTGTGCAATCTTCTCTCAGGACAGTCTGATTTGGTAAGTCATAAACTTCATTAAAATGATCTAACTGACTGCCCTTGTCTCGGACATCTAAACATATCTAAAACAAAAATTTACTATTTTAAATATTATAACACTGTCAGTAGACATTATTTCTTCACATAATTAAGTTCTACTTGTTGGCAGCAAATAATTAATATCTGCTGCCACTCCATTTGTATCATAAATAATTACATTTAAACTTGAATTATCTACATTAACCATGATTCATTTGATTACCTACTAAAAAAAATTGGATCGATGTTTTTATTATTATTTTTTTTAATTAATTAGTTTGATAAACTTTTTAAATAGTTGAGAATTTAAATACGGCCTATTCCATTAATATGTTAATATTCAACAGCTTGAAATTTTCAAAAGATCGTATTAAAATTACATTTAGATGTCCGCAGCATATTAAAAGAGAAAATTTTAAACAAAATATCCTACCTGCCAAACTTCAGGCCTTAAGTTTTCTGGTAAGGCTTTGCCTTTACAGATGCAATAAATATCTGTAGCTGAACATTCCTCCAAAAGTGCGTTTTCCAAGTCTATCACCCTAGTAAATAAACATTGTTATCATTATTTTATCTAGTATTAAAATTAAAGATCATTTAGGCCTATTTATGGTGATAGTTTGTAACATAGGGAATTATATAAATTGATTTAAAATAGAACAGAAGTAAACACATATCACTTACCAATGATTGTCGTCATCCGAACAAGCCATTTTGACATATTTTACTACAAAATTTATTATTTTTCGTGCATTATAACGTGTCAACAGTGACACATAAAACAGGTGATAAAATCATAAAATGACTTTTTGTAGTGATAAAAACCATAGACTTCATAGTTGTGGATATAAGAATTCGAAGTGTTTCATGTGTAAAGATCGACGATTCCAGCATTTTTAGCGCCACCTGGTAACGAATATTAGGATTATTTCGAAACGAGCGCCGCACCATTATTCCATGGCTAGAAATTGGCCTCAATGATTTGGGATCGAGGGGGATTATCCTTCTTTATCCTGCCTCATCTCGTGTAGGCCTGGACAGCCTTCGTAGGTGGGCCCCATCCGTCGTCTACCCCGACCGCAAATGCGGCCGGTGTAGGCGCTTTGTGGGACCTCCTTTTGTCCTGGCTGGGCCCCGCCGGCTAGGGCCCTTTCTTCAGGTGCTCTTCTTACTTCGCCGGTTCGTCTGTGTAAGTCCAAGACAAAATTGTAAAAAAAGCACTTAGAGCATATACTACTGGAGGCAGCGTCTAAGTGGCCGAGAGTGTAGCAGAGGTTTAGAGAGAGATAGGAAGGTATCCGCGATAATTTTTAAGATGCAAGCGCACCAAGCGGCGAAAGCAGTAAGCTCCGAAACAAGGTAATTTTGACATTGCCGTTCGCGTTTACACATTCATTTGAACAACATTTGTCTTATTTGCCATTATTATTAGTAATTTTGTTATCAAACTGCGGTTATTTGACTTTTGTGTTATTTTATAGGTTTCAAATATTTCATAAATAAATTTTAAGGCAAGTATTTATGTCTATTTTATTTGTCTCTAGCATTACAATTTATTGTACATTTTATTATGTTATAACTATGAACTTATCCGTTGTAGAATACATTTCCTATTTACATATATGCCAACGAAAACTCTCGTTGTATATCAGAAGGAGAGGCAGTTTTTAAGGCTGATCATGTGCATGTGATACTATATGGGAAAATTGGGCTAAGTTAATTTAAATTTAGAAATTTATATTATGTCTGCAAACTAGTGCCCTTACTTACTAACAACCCCCATGAAATTCAGGGAGTATTATCTATCGGCAATAATATTTTGAACATTTCTTCAATGGTTTGATGAAAACTTAATTCTGGATATTTCTTGGACCATGAAGAGCAACCTTGAACTGAACAATAATAGTTTGACAGTTTCTTCTTTCTATCCATAATTGCTGAAATTTTCCTCACACTATTTTCTTAAAATAACAGTGTTCAAAAAACGAACACTAAATACAGTTTTAAATAAAATACAAAACGAAATGTCACACACAGAAGAAATGTTTACCTTGTTTCGCTAGTATCACTTGTCTCCGCCAGAGGGCGAGCTCTTAGCTGCATTCGCGAATATGCTATATCTCTAGCAGCACGCGATTGCATGTTGCTAGAGAGAGATAGCAAATTCACTCATATACGTCTCTCTCTCTCTAAACCTCCGCTATACTCTCGGCCACTGAGTGAGACATGCCTCCAGTAGTATATACTCTAAGGTAAAACATATATTTTTCTCCCTTTTTTTTGTTCAATTCTTATAGGTATTTTGGCTTTATTTCCTACAAGTATTTACAATTATTTATTGTCTTATTTATAACCTACAAATTGCCTATATTTCATAATTATTGGTTTAGTAATTTCTTTAATTCCAATTATTATAGTACATTAAACTAATTAAATATAATTTTATCATGTACTTTAAAAGACGTAAAGTATCATAATTTAGTGAGACAGAAACACTTATTTTCGATAAATGTAATAACGTTTATGTAAACCGAAAATCCAAAAAAAAGCGGGAATTTTTCACTCATCTGGCAGCACTTAATATTTTAAATTTTACCTGTTGTACCGCCCTCTACATCATGATTTTTTTATCTTTCTACCGTTTTGTGTTTCTACCTATCCATGAGGTCAGACAGAAGTAGTGGGAAACTGTCAACGAAACGAAAGGAGAATAGAATATTAAGCAATGGCGTAAGAAAGTGTTGAGCTTTTAAAATATCAAATCATGCATGTTTCTAAAGATGTGCAAATCTTACAGCTTGCTTAATGGTTCAAATTATAATACTACCTTTGCTTTACGTGTTACTTGTGTTGTTTATAAGGTGTAAAAGTTGATGTGTACCTGCTTCAATTCGCATAAATATCTGCATCTATGATTTTTAATTATGACGACACGGTGCATTTTTATTTTATTTACGACAAGCTTTCTGTTTGTTAAGGTATGTATACCCTACTGTTACGTTTGCTTTAATTTAACATGTCAATTCGGGAATTGGAAAATGTCTTGAGGGCAAAATTGTTGGGACCTGTTGCTTTTTAACAATAAAGAATTGCATTTACTTGTTGCTTAGTTTAGTGCATTGAAATATTCCATGTGATCTAGTGTAGTACACGCATAAATTCCTCTAAAATAACTTTCTGCTCTATGAAAAGTAGAACACATGTAAAACAATACATATGTCTTATAGGATAGGTATACCTCGCATTGTATCCGCGAAAAGTTTATTAGACATGTATTAGTGTTGCTTGAAAAGTAAACAATGAAGAAATTTGCATAAGCATGACGACGAATTTCTTTTATGTGAGAAGTTAATTATGCCTACCTATTTATCTGTTAGTTGCTCTATAAATTCCTCAGAACTGATTTTTAATTCATATAAGTTTAGGCCTACATTTTTTTCATCTTGTAAACATTCATTCAATTGGACTTATAAATTGTTTATTGCCCTGCTTATATTTTTACCAGAATTACTTGAGTAGATACTTGGGAAAAATTGCAGTGTTTAGCAATCGATAAAGGTAGATTTTAAATAAGAATTAAAATATAAAATGAGATTTTAAATTGACCACGTTTGATCTTAAGGTTTACACTTGCCGAGACCTTGCTTTAGCTAGCAATTAGTAATACATTTTATTTTCTGCTGTTTAACTATACAATTTTTGTTAGTATTGGATGCTTATTTTAATTTTAAATAATAAACACAAATATTGGATGGATAAATTAATATAATTTGCATTAAGGTAAATTTTTTTTATCAATTATTGAAAGTAAGTTAATTTTTTGAAAAAATAAAAATTCTTGATTCAAAGTCAAAAGTGTCACTAGTTTTCGATAAACAATATGTTGGGATTAAAAAAAAAGTATGTATGTATGTCATTTATTCAAATATCTGAAGATTCTTAGATTCTTAGATGATTGAAACTGGCCAATAAATTAAAGCCAAAAATTAATTAAAGTCTTAAGTATACAAATCTGTATATCTGTAATATTTAGTTAGCTATTGCTTTTTACAATTCAAATAAACCATTCACTTGAATAAATTAAAAATATCTAAAATTATTTCTTTAAACCATATTTTTATGTTTCACGAGCAAAATATATGTTGTTTATAGACTTGGAAAATAGGTGCTCTGTATAGGAACATACTGTTATTGTGTAACATTGTTAATTAGTTATATTAACTTTTAAACAGTTTACATAGTACAGTACTATTTAGATACATTATAGTTCTAGAAAAATTTGTTGCAAAGCTACACATTAACTCATTATAGCAATGATTAATGATTTTTAAAATGGATTGTGGTTTTGTATTTTTTTAAATAATTAATTGTTCTTTGTAACCTTAAACATTCAATTCCTAGTTATTCAACAAATTGAAGTACTAAGAAAAATTATAAATCATAATAATTAAATTTTGTTTAATGTTTGTATATGCAGAATAACAGTATTGTAAATTATACTTTTCCTTGAACTGTCTCTAAAATTTCACTTAATAAAAATATATCAAAGTTAAACTACAAATTTTATAATGACCACATGGGTATTTGTGTTGTGTGCATATAAGATATTTATAGAAATTTGAAATACAGGGTGTTTTGGGAAAATGCCATACATTTAGGAGCTGATAGAACACGAAAAAATAAGACCTATTGTCTTCTGTTTTTTAGATACAGGGGCATCAAATACAATTTCTTAAAATCAAATTCCATATCTTTTTCATCAAACAATGTAATGCACTGGAATATGGTACAGGTAAAGATGTTCTTACGACATTAAATATGTCAGCAGTCAGAATTAGTTTTTGAAAATTTGATAGAAGTCCACAACTACAACCTTACCTTGACATTATATAACAGTTATAACACAGATTAAACATTTTTTCTGATGTGTTTCATATATGTATTATAACGTAAAATTATATTGCTAGTTGAGTTTGGGACAGTCAATTGCGTTTTTCTCAAAAATCGTGTATTTTGAACGATTTCATCAAGATTTTTATATAAATTAAAATTTGACATTGTAGTATACTATACACCATAAAAAATGTCACCGGGTAAGGTTGTAGCTGGCAACCTCTAGCAAATGATCAAAAACGAAATACTGAATACACTATGCTGTTTTTTTGGAAAGGGCAGAGCCCTATAGGAAATAAAATGTTCTTATTTTTTGATATTTTATAAGTCCTTAAAGGGGGTGGGTCGATTTGTGCAGTTTTTGCCCCATTTTGTTTTTGCGATAAAAAATGTGAAAAATTCCTGTAATATCTACTACCAAAAATGAGTCGATCTGACCCGAAACGGACCACCTACTCACCACCCAGTTTCCCTGTAACACCCCCGCAAATACTGGAAATACTGTCACTAGATAACATCATTTTGGAGAGATTCGGCGCTGTAAAACTGGATAACTCGCCTCAATCACCGTATCCTTGGGTTTTTGGGGTTGCTGATCACGAATCCGTGGTCCATTAGCCTCCACTAGATGTATTTCAAGTTCATTTGAAGGTCAAACTGAGAAAACGCTGATAAAAAAACAAAAAATATATCTATGGGTTTCCGGGGTCGCTGATCACGACTCCGGGGTCCATTAACCTCTGTGAGATTAGTTTCGAAGTTATTTGGAGGTCAATCTGGTGGTCCCATTTCATTAGTCTCCATCAGATAAGATTCAAATTTAAAAATAGTTCCTTAGGTTTTTGGGGTCACTGATCACGAATTCGAGGCCCATAGATATATTTTTATGTTTTTTTATCAGCGTTTTCTCAGTTTGACCTTCAAATGACCTTGAAATACATCTGGTGGAGGCTAATGGACCACGGATTCGTGATCAGCAACCCCAAAAACCCAAGGATACGGTGATTGAGGCGAGTTATCCAGTTTTACAGCGCCGAATCTCTCCAAAATGATGTTATCTAGTGACAGTATTTCCAGTATTTGCGGGGGTGTTACAGGGAAACTGGGTGGTGAGTGGGTGGTCCGTTTCGGGTCAGATCGACTCATTTTTGGTAGTAGATATTACAGGAATTTTTTCACATTTTTTATCGCAAAAACAAAATGGGGCAAAAACCGCCCAAATCGACCCACCACCTTTGCAATATCTCTTTCCAAGGTACCCTGTATAATAATTTAAACTTATTTTATTTGTAACAAGGTATCGCCAGTTGAATATTTTTATACTACTGATTTAATTGAATGTATTCTTTGGAATACAACAAAATAAAAAGAAACGGAAAAAATTAATTTAAAGCATTATCAGATCTTGTTTTTTTTTACATCAGTTTATGATGATTCAGGCAACAACCAGGAATATAGAAACATTATTTTGAGCTGCATTTCAATTTCAATTACCTACTGTATTTGTTTGGTAATAATAAATATGAATAATTTATTAAAATTATTATATTTTAATATTCACACAGGTTGTTGTTGTTAACACATTTGAATCAATCACCTTATTTTCACCTTCATTTTTTCATAAACATATGCCGTTACCACCATTTTGTTGACTTGTTTGATTACAAATAAGTAAAACAAAAATATTATTTCAAGTTTATATTTTGTATATTATTTTTCAGTTAGTACTATTTACAATATTAATTTATTATACAAAAAAATTCCAAGAAACATTCCTACATTTTTTGTCGTACAAATTTTCTATACGTATGTAGTTATATCTGTCGAACAAACATTATGAGCAATGCAATTTATCCCGTTATTTTATTTTTTTAATTTATTTTTAGCATAAATGTATATGTATAAAATAAAGATTTAACAAATTGATATAAAACCTTGACAAACATGTAAAAAAACATCATGAGTGGTAATTATTTAAATACATATTTATGAATTTTATTTAAGTAAATTCTTTAGTAACGTGGTAAAGAACATATTCTGTTTCCTTCAAAATATATATTATAAATTAATTTGTACATTTGTATACAGGGTGTTACAAAAAGAGTGTAAAATATTTCAGGAGGTAATAGTATGAACCAAAATAAGCAGAAAAGTTTTAATAAACATGGGTCCGCAAAGTAACGGTTGCGGAGATATGGACCACTATTCGTTTTTCAAACATTTTATTTTATTAGGAATAAACCGACAAAGGAAGCTTTTAACAAACAAAAAACAAAGTTACAGAAGATGTTCAAAGTGCCCTCCGTCCATTTCCAAGCAGGCACGACATCTTCGTCTCAACGATATTCGAACTCTTTCGAAAACACCCTCCTTGGTTTGGATTTCTTGACACTTTTGATTAATCCGTAGCTGCAGCTCTTCCAGGCTATTTACAGGAGTACCATACACTAATGTCTTCAAATATCCCCAAACAAAGAAATCTAGAGGGTTCAGATCAGGCGATCTTGGAGGCCATAAAACAGGTCCGGCCCTTCCTACCCATCTATGTGGAAAAGTTTGGTGTAAATGCTCTCTAACGGCCATGGAAAAATGAGCTGGAGCACCATCATGCTGGAACCACATTTGTTGCCTCTGATTCAAAGGAATGTCTTCCAAAAACTCATACAGTGTGTTCTGCAGAAAGTTGAGGTAAGCAGCGCCTGTTAATCGGTTTGGTAAAACAACAGGACCTAGAAACCTGTCACCTACAATACCCATCCAAATGTTTAATGAAAAACGTGCCTGATGTCCAGATTCTATTAGAGCATGAGGATTTTCGTCGGCCCAAATATGCGTATTGTGAAAATTAAACACTCCATTTCTTGTGAACCCGGCCTCATCAGTAAAAAGAATGTTTGCAAGAAAACGAGGGTCTTCAGCATCATGACGTAGAAACCAGCGGCAAAAAACCAAACGTGCTTGATGATCATTTATTGGATTTAAGGCCTGTACTCGTTGCACATGGTATGGATAAAGCAGTTGCTCGTGAAGGATTCTCCAAACAAGAGGACCACTAATTCCTACCTCGGCTGATATTCTCCGCACA